TCTGCAGCAGAAAATATTAATTAAGTGTCATAAATATGATCAGGGAGTTCCTTAGAAGGGCGTTTACTTAAATTGTGTATCAGAAGCTCTGGAGTCACTTTGGCTCACCGTCCTTCCCCAGATGAGTTCTTGACTCAACAGATGGTGAGGTCCAGTCCGCTAGCAAGAGCTGATTTCTACTTGGGCAAAAGGACACGTTTCCCTTGATTTTTTTTGTGGTGCCGGTCCCCCCCTACCCCAAAAAAACCCCCCAAAAACCTGGATTTTTCAGTTTCAACCTTGACTGTGTTCTGACTACAGATTTATACAGTGTACAGAGAGAGTGCCTGAGTGATATTTCCCCTTAGCCTTTAAGTAGAACATCTTTATAGGCTTCATATTGACAGCACTAGGGCTCTCTTACTTGTTCAACAATTTTCTTTTTTTGTCTTAAATGAGAAAAACTCCTGGCTTTGATGAAAAAAAAATAAGGTCAAACTCCTATGTTGCCATATCAAATAAATGTAATCACCTCAGTAGTGATGATGCAGTAGGATATTAGCAGCAGGTCAGCAGGAGGAGTTTCAGTCATGCTAACAGAAGAACTCTGATATGATAAGACAGCTTTGACCTCCTCTCTTTTCCTCTTACTCCTCACTAACTTCCAGTGTTTGGTTACAGCAGTGGTGGGTCCTTGCTACGAGCACACACAGAACCGCACCATGATGTCAACAGTGGCGCTTCTAGACCACTTCTACTGAAGGGGGCCAAACTGGGGCCAGTTGTTTTGTTCAGAGGGGAACATTAAACCCAGGTCAAAAATAGACAAAGATCGCTTTAAAATATATATATATATATATATATTATGCAAAATAATAGCGCACAATATTAAATACCATGATTGTGTTATTAGGTGGGCTCTTCCTTTTGAAAGTTGTGGCCAAAGGGGGACACTGGCCCTGTTGGCCCCTGTTGGCCCCTGTTGGCCCCTGTTGGCCCCTGTTGGCCCCTGCCTAGAACCGCCCTTGGATGTAAATATGTGTGAATAAGCCGTAACCTCATAATGAAGGTGTCCATGTCCCAGCAGCAGTACATCAAGATCCCTGTCACTGCAGAATCATCAGACTTGACCTTCAGCTAGCTCCAAGCAGAGTTTCCATGGTAACACACGCAAATCCACACATTATACATTCAAACACATAAACACACGGCGAGGGGTGTAGTGCAGTCCCAGTGAACCGTGATGATGCGTGTGTAAGTGGGTGCAGCAAGTTGTGGTCATGAAAGGACTTGTGAACTTGTAACTCAAACACAGCAGAGGCTCATTTCCTGTCTCTCTCCATTGTTCTGCTTCTCTCTCACACTCTGAGTGCTTCCACATGTGGCACGGGATGGTCCGTCTGACTGACATCTGTTACACACCGTGGCCCTCTGTTGGGCATTACCTGTAATGACAGTATGAGCCTCGTCGCTCCGTTTTCATGGTCATTCATGTGAAGCTTTTACTTGAATGATTGTTGTGCTTTTTCTCAGTCAGCAGTTTGTCTGGATGCTTGCATGTTAACCTAAATGCATTTTTGGATTTGATGAGTTTGTACAAGATAATAAATGGAATTTCAGAGTGATATTTGAACAGATAGAAAGTTTGATTAGGCTCGTTGAGGGTTTGCAGAACATGTTAAAAGCAAATAACTGAATTACTCTTCCATAATTATCCACTCTGCAAGAGAAGGAGTGAGCTTTCACTGTCTATTTTAGTCCTGTAGTCTTAACCTGAAAAGTTCAAGAATTACCCGTACGAGCTGTGGCTCAGTGGTACAGTCAGGATCAGAAGGCTGCTGGTATGATCACAGCTCTTTGCATGTTTAAGACACTGAACTGATCGGTTGATACTGATGGGTACTTTACATAGCACCCTCTGCCATCAGTGTGAAAGTGGTGTAAATGGGTGGATGTGATATGTGGTGTAAAATTGCATTGATTAGTCAGAAGATTAGAAAAGCCCTGTAAGAGTCTAGTCCATTTACCATTTCACTGTTTTTTGAAGTCTGGAGAAACATCCAGATTGTTAGTCCACCTCTCAGTTTGTCAGCCAGACAGCAGACCACCGTCCTTTAAGCAGGTTAGCCCCTCCATCAGCGACACAGGGCTTCATCCCAAGAGCTGTGCACCCTCCATTGTCTCATGATTCAGTTAATGTCTGAAAAAGAGAGAGCTGTGTTGAGGGGGTGAGGGGGTTTTCTGCAGCCCAGTCCAGCTGTGCACCTCAATAAACCACTGGCTTTAATCTTTATTTTTTCATCTTTTTTTATCTTGAGATACATTTCGCCGGGCACATCGGCCCCACTTGACTCTTATATGAATGCAAATCAAGATGAGATCAGGGACTGGATTAGGGAGGCGATCCTGCAGAGAACTGTAGCCTCTACATACTGTAGTTCACCTGCTCAAACATCCGAGCTAAACCAGCACCACCTCGACGACATTTAAAGCATCCTCTCGTCTTAGCTCAGATGTGGAGTGTCATTAAGACTTCAGGGAGTTTCGGAGACTCTTGTATGAGCCCCTAACAGATGGTGCTTTTGAAACTTCAGGAATTCCCAACTTGTCCTATTATACAGTTTAACCTCTGCAACATGTTTTATTATTATTATAGAAACTAGAATGTGTTTTAGAAAGGACAGTTAATACCAAAGATGAATCAAATAATACATTCATAATTTATATCATGGGTACACGGCTGTGGCTCAGTTGGTAGAGTCGGTCGTTTCTCAACTGGAAGGTGGGTGGTTCAATCCCCAGCTCCTGCAGCCACATATGCGCCAATGTGTTTGTGGGCAAGACACTTAAATTGCTCCTGCTGCTTTGTCGGCGCCGTATGAATGTGTATGAATGTCTTAGTTACTTCTGAAGGTCACTTTACATAGAAACCTCTACCATCAGTGTGTGAATGTGTAGGTGTGACTTGCGGTGTAAAAGCACTTTGAGCAGTCAGAAGACTAGAAAAGCACTACACAAGTTTAAGTTAATTTACCATTTGTATAATTAGAATTATATAATATATATATTTAATCGTCATTGCTTTGGTTATCTCTGATTTTTCCCGTCCTTTCTTTAATAATTATCACCTGAAGAAGATCTCTGGTTGAAACATTGTGATGGATTCAAACTTTTTGTGTGCAGGTCTATCTTCTTCCTCATCTCTGACTTTTCCCATTGCTTCTCTTCCATCGACACACTTCCTTACCAGTGTGCTAGCATGCTGCTTTTAGCATTTAGCTTGGAGCCCACTTGTGAGAGTAAGTCCTCACAGAACTCCTGCCATGCTGTTAACGCTCAGTGTTATTCTTCATCATATCGGCACAATATACGTTGAAATGCATCAAATAGCTTGTTTGCGGTTCTGTCACTTTCCTCTCAGTGCAGCACAAAGAAGCTGCATTCTGCTTTATTTCAAACATGCAGCATTAAATAAAATACTCTCAGACGGTCCCGTTCTACTTTTCAATCACATGCTCTTAACGGCAGCTTGATGATTTTCTTAAAGCACCACACAGTGTGACGGTGCCTGTGGGAGACCCCGACCTCGCGTTTGGCAGAAGCTGTGAATGATGTAGGGTGGGGAAACATTTGGATTTTCACTGTTGCAGTGCCAAAGCAGACAGATTTACTATACTGTGAGGAGAAATAGCTCAACATTTCCAATCTCGTTTCAGCTCTGGCCATAAAATGAAATAAGATGTGAAAGTCTCCAGTCACCAGAATCTATGCGTTAGTTCCAGGGTTGTGCTGTGACGGCTTGTTGGCAGGAGCCGTGGATGTTGATCTGCAGGATGAAGGAGTTTGATTTGTGACCTTGTCGGGGTAACAGTGGGTGGAGTGGAATACAGGGAGGATATCAGAGAGGAATATTGTAGCCGAATAGGCCCTCGTTTTTGACAAATCCTTTAAAACCATGCAGCTTCACAAGAGTCCAAGAAGGAAATGTGGGTAGTTTGGAATCAGAACAGTTCTGTATTTTCCTGGCCCTTCAGACATTTCAAGAGGAGTTGAGGATTGTTGGGAGGGCAAATGTTTCTCTAAGTATTTTTCTGCAACATGGAGTCAATGTCTGCCATGAGCACTGAGAGGAGTGAAAACCTCTTTTATTCACTTCATTTAGTTTACAAAACCATTTCATCTGCCAAACTCAGACGAGTTCGCAGTACTTTTAATGAAGATTTAAAGGGGACACATTTTGAAAAATCCACTTTGACGTTGATTTTAAACATTTATTTGGGTAACCTGAGTGTCTACTGACCCACAACATGTGAAATAAACCCATCCAGTCCTTTGTTTGTGGTCTGCATAAGTCTTACAACACAGAGAAAAATACTCTGTTTCAAATTTGCTCTCCTTGTGATGTCACAGTGGGATTCTGATAAAACAAAATCCCCTTCCCTCCCCTGGTATCTCCACCCATGGACTCCACCCCCAGCCTAGAACAAAACTTTTGCGCAGGTCCTTCATTTTTATTCTCGCTACAGAGGAGTGATGTCTACGGGGAAAGCTCAGGGGGGGCTCATTACATTTAAAGAGACACACACACCAAAACGGAGCGTTCTGAGAGAGCTGGTTTATACAGGGTCACAAACCTCCTCTGGTGCTTGATTCATGTTATATTTTGACCAAAGCACAGCACAGATGTTTCATTTAGACCGCAGGGGGACTGTTTGAAAAGGTGGATAATATGTCCTCTTTAAGTAAAATTCCTGTTTATTAAATTCTAAATACCTTCTCATTGTTTTTCCATCATTTCTTCCACCTATGTTGAGTACCCTGCACCAAAACATGTACTGCTTGTGTTTTATGCTCAGTTGGATTTTGTTGTTGAGATTACTGTGATATTTGGCTTTCAGAAATGATCCCGTCTAAAGTACATCCCTGTGATTCTCCCCTCTCCCCCTCAGGAATTGGAAGCTCTAGAGTCGGCTCTGGGTTCAGCAGACTCTCCTGAGGCCTGGGAAAGTCGAGGCGGTGTTAACTCGGCCAGCTCTCGCTCGTCCTCAGGTCCGAGCCGCCAGGAGCGCAGCAGGCAGCTGTGGGAGGACATCAGCACGGTGGAGGAAGATTCCAGCAAACTCAACGCCCTGCAGCTACGGCTGGACGAGTCCCAGAAAGTCCTGCTGAAAGAGAGAGAGTAAGAGGAACATCATAAAAACCAGAAGACTGTCTGTGGTGATGTAGCATAGATCCAGCTTAATGTGTTTTATGATAATGAACACTTACAGGGAAACCCATTATCAGCAATGGAATGCTCAGGTACACTTCATCAATGCCCGAGTGAAGTTATGTAAGAAAATATGTATTTAAAAGTAACTTCAGTCTTAGCGCCCGCCATGTGAGGGCAGCTGACATTTCTTTGTTGATTTCATGACAGTGTTTTGACGTGATTTCTTTTTTTTCCCTCAGTTAATAACCAACATAGAAAGTGAAACGTATTATCGAGTGCTGATCTGTGTGTTGTTTTTTGGTTTCCCTAGAGACAAGCTGGCACTGAGTAAAAGCATTGAGAGGCTGGAGGCCGACCTCAGTCAGTGGAAACTTAAATACGAGGAGCTCAGCAAGAGCAAACAAGAGGCCCTCAAACAGGTGAGCCATCGACGTCGTCGTGCAGCCACGTCTTCTCTTGTTTCAAAATGGGAAACTTTGAGCTGAGGTACGCAGGTTATGACTAAAAACTACAACTCTGGTATCTGCCTCATTCAGAAAAACAGCAGCTGGATCTGTTCTGATAATATTTGATCTAAGGAGGGTTACTTAGAAGAAACCATTTAAAACATCCCGTATGAATCCAAACTACCGAGTAGCTTCGTGTTCTGTTTGCAATAACAGGCCGCTTGTGCAGGTCGTAGCAGTCAGACCTTTAATGTTGGGGGGGGCATGGTTTAGGTTCATCAACAGGTGGTCTTGGATTTAATTAGTTTGTTCTCTGAGATATGAAATGTGTTTTATTTTTATTTTGATTTAAACATAAAATTGTGGCTGTATCTGGAAGGATACTTATTTAACACAAACGACCTGCCGTACTTTTCTTCTTTGGTACCATGTAACACAAGGAAGCCAAAGAAGCACATTACAAGGCAGGCGTGTTATCTATCTCTGGTTGTCTGATGGTCACTGAATTCTCTTTTGAAGGTCATATAACTAAGAACTTCACATCATGTTCATCAGTTGACTTTGATCAGAGACTGAAATCCAGGGTCAAAGAAGCTGGCTTCCTCAAGAATAGATCACACACGGTCCCTGTGTCTCTGAGACCGTCTCTGCTGGACTAACTTTGTAATTATGGACTGAGAGAAACCAGGACAGGAGTAGATAAAACATTAACAACCTACAACATCCCAACATGCCTTTTGCAATGCTCAGGGTTTAATAGAAAGCAACATTAAACAATTTAACAACAACAATGTGTTAATGCATGGTGATATTATCAAGCACCAGAAGAGGAAACAAAAAGGGAAATGTTCCTCCACATAGACATGTAATATATAAGCTAAGCTTTTTTTTGTTTACTGCTCACTCAAGTACACACAGACCTCATGGACCGATCAAGCAGGAAAATGAGTGACTCTGTCTCACTGACAAACACAAAATTTTTCAGATCTGCAAACTCGGTTTATTTTCAATCATCCAACCAGGAGGCATCTTTTCTTTTTTTTTACTTACTTTATTAATCCCTGAGGGAAATTCTGTTTTTAAACGCTGTTATTGAGAGACACACTTCTCACACACATAGGCCTGAATCACACAGGTGCCAACAGAGGTATTCTAATTCTAGGAGTTCATTCTAGTGAATTTATTTAGTCAGTAATAGGCGGAGAAACTTAAACCTGTTTTAATAAGTTAAAAAAAATCCCCCCATTAAATTCAAATGAATCTGGCTGCAGCAGGATATAGAATAATATAGTGAGGTGTTTTATTTTGTACAGTAGTATAATAGACAGTCTGTATGTAGTTCTTTGATACAGTTTAATATAACTATTTTACATCAATGCTTTCCTCTTATTGTCTCTCTCTCCCTCCTCATCAATGCTCTTCTTCACTATCTGTTTTGCAGAAATGAATCTCTGAAGATTAGCTCGTCACATTACCTCAATGCTCTGTTGACATAGAGTGTCTCTTCAGTTAGATCGTGTAGGGCCTGTAATGTGTTAGCAGTGCTACACCACCCGGGGGCAGTCCAGGCCTGCAGAGAGGGGAGACAGACGGAGGGAAACGAGCCAGCTAACACAGTTCTCACAAAAGGCTCAATGTATGACAGAATCAGATAAACCCACACAGGAAGACTTAAGGGGATAGGTCAGAGGAGGTGAGCGCTGTGTGGATGGTGATGATGGTTGTTTTTAAGATAAGTGGGTAGAGGAGATCAGATAGAAGCAGGATCAGGGGAGGTGCTGATGGTGGAGAGGAGGCAGATGACACACAGGCAGAGATACAATCATCAGATAAGAGCGTAGAGAGATGACAGAAGATGGTAAAGGAGATGAGTCATTCTTATCCACACACACAGGAGAGAGAGAGAGCGTCCAGCTGCCTGGTTCCAGGATCCTGTGTACATTGGACATGCAACTTAGCCTCTAAAGGGTGCTCAAATTATCTTTATATCTTAATTAATTCCCAACAGACTTGCCAAGCAATACACAAGTAAAAGGTTAAAGTTGTCATATTGACTTTAGACTTTATTGTCCCCAGGGGGAAATTCTTTTTCACAGCAGCGTTTCTGTCCAAACAGACATTTCCCACCAAAGAACATACGTACACAAAACAAATAAATAAATAAAAAAACAGAGTTAAAGAACAATCAGGAGTTCCCACTCTGGCCTGTTCAGCGAGGCCTTTTGTTCAGGGTTGTTTTATGGTTGTCGAAAATGTTCGATATGTTGATACTTTTGAATACCAACCATTTTGAAATGATAAAATCTTGATTATTTTAATGGCTGATAGTAGGGTAAGGGACAGAAGCTTTTAAAAATCACAGAACTTCAGTCATATTTTTTACCCAAAGCTGAAACAAAGAGAGAGAGAGAGAGAGAAATACTAACACTTCTCAAATCCTTTCAGTGTCTCATAAAGAGGCCAAAGTTAGATTTATGTCTCTTACAGACGGACAGAGAGTAGAAGTGATGACAGCAGAGGGGACGCTGTCTAAATGGATCAAATACGCGGGCAGCGTTTGTCATTGAAATGTTGCCAACGTATTTGTGCAATTAAGAAAGTGTGGAGTGCAATTCTTGGTAATCAAAAACAAGAAATTACCCAACATAAGGTCCCCAGAAGTTCTGTTTTTGTTGTTGTAGTATTGAATCAGGTATCGATTTTTTAATTGCATTGTATTGCAGTTTAATTTTACTGTATTGTGAACGTCAGGACTCTGAACTTGTGAACATGTTTTTGAAGTTGTTGTTTGCAGTTTTTCAGGGTAACAAATGGGTCAAAATCTTTAATATGGTCTGCAGGAAGTAGTTGAAGTGTAATTAGCCAAGTTAAATAATCCGACTGAATAAGATGTGAAGAAGAATCCATGTATGACTAATGAATAAAAGACTAGTCCTAATTACAAATAATGTTCATCATGAAGAAATGGCAGTCTAAACTGAGAGTCTGAGGCACTCTGATGCAGTATAAACATCCTTTTATTAACCTATCCTTGAAGAGCACCTGATTCCTCTACACGAGTAGAGGTGCAGCTCTCGCTTCAACCTGTTTTAAAGACTTCATGTATTTTTAGCTGCTTCAGTGAAAATGCTCTAAGACATATAGTGAAGCAAAAAACAGCGAAAAGGAGTTGTTGGAGAGGGACCAAAAAAAAAGAACAATATTAAATATACCAGGCTGCAAGAGCATGACTCTGAATTATTTTGGTATTGGTCTGATAATATGTTAGACCGTAACTCTTTACTTTGACCAAAAAAAGACGATCAGTGGAAACACTCACACCCTGGAGGAAAAGGTTTTACGTTCAGTCACACGTGGTTCCACCGCTTAGAAGGATATCAGAATAAATGTATAGACAGGGCATGTGGGTGTGTGCAAATAGAAGTTTGAGGTTTTTATTTTATTATTGTGTCATACATACATTTATATGCCCAGCCTAAAAACGTTCCAGGATCAGAGTGCAGAGTAGGTGCATTCATTTTCATGAAAAAAAGAGAAAACTAAAAGCAAGACAAACCCCAACTAAATAAAATATCCTGTCTTCTTTTCCAAGACTTTGAGACAAAATTAGCAAGCTGAAACACATCGAACTTAAACAGCCATTCCAGTTTTTACACATCTGCCCACCCTGATATTTCTTGTTTTTGATGATCTATTTCATGAAAAAATAATTCTGTTAAATCTTCATATTTTGTAAAATGCAAAAGACAATGAGACTCAGTTTCCACTTCGTCCAACTCTCACATCTCACAAAGTCTGTTCTCCTCTGGAATATTTTTGAATCGACCGACTTCAACGGCCGGAGGGAGAATAGCAGATCTTAACTGTGCAACCAAGGATCTTTGTCTTCTAGATAAACGACAAGCTACACATAAAATAATATTTAAAAAATCTGATATAAAAGACTGAAAGAAGACAACAAAGTGAAACATGCAACATCATGTTGTTTCTGTTCAACAGTGCTGCCTTTAGCAAACTATGTAAAGAAGAACATCTTTAAAGAGTGCAGACTCAAAGGATGGATAATTATGAGTAAGTTAGAGTTTGACCTTTGCTTTCCTGTTAAAATATGACTTAAAACATCTGATTGGTCATGAATAACTGCATACAAACTGTTTGAGTATTTGAGATGCAGTATGGATTAAACCTACAAGATATCAGCCGTACTCCAGCTTTTGTTTTCAGTTGTCATTATGTAGCTGCAGTGTTGAACTCAGGGGACGGAGAAGGATGGTTTTAAACTGACTGGTGGTGGTGGTGCCACCATTAAGACTAAATAACAAACTGAATCACCATGCCCTTTGACCTTTTGTCCCGTTTCTCCTCCTCATATCTCTTCTAGCTGAACCTGCTGAAGGAAATACACCAGGATGAACTCGGCCGCATATCTGAAGACTTGGAGGATGAACTGGGAGCCCGGACCAGTATGGACAAGAAACTAGCCGAACTCCGAGCAGAGGTGAGGGGACTGTGAAGAACAGAAAGACGATAGGAGGGTGGACGAGTTTACAGCAACATGGAGGGAGAAAGAGTGGGAGTGTGGGATGAAGGAAAGGAGGATGAGCTCTTTACTAACCGAAATACAGTTTTTTTTTTGCAGTATTATATTTGGTCAGTGTATTGGATTTAATTTGATGTTTCATTTACATTTTTGTTGATTCTATATTTCAGAAAAGATCTTCGAGATTTCTTGCGTCCTCCATCCTTACATTTTAAAATCCTGCATATGCTGCCATCTAGTGGTTGCTTCAGGATCGTCTTCACCCTGTGCAGAATCAATAAATCAATCTTTATCTTAGAGCTCCAATTCATGAGAAATATTATTTTAAGACTCTTAACACAAAGATCAGGTAAAGATATTACTCTTTAGAAAAGTACAGCACTGTTCAGCGTGTTAAAACTCTTAACCAGGTTTGATGGTTAAGTTTCATAGTTTGTAATCCAAATGTTTAGCACTTATTTGATATATTACAGGAATGTTTTTATGTAGGACAACTTTTCATCTGAACATAAATCTCTCTGGATATTTGTTTCTTTTGACTGTGCAGGGCCTCAGTGGCAGCAGGCTAGGAAACATACGACAGGCAACCATCTTTAAAGTAACTTTTTACAGCTCTTCCTCTGAAACCCTGAAACCACCTGAGGCCGTGTGTTAATGTATATTCTCTCCAGAGAGTTGTGGGTCTCCTACCAGAGGGATCAGCTAGAGAAGCTTCAAAGGAAGGTGTCCAGGAGGCTGATCAACTTCAGCTAATTCATTTTCATTTGAAGATGCAGTGTCAGTTCCCCGGGCCTGTCTTCAGTCCTTACTCTCTTAGAGTAAAGATCTATTGAGCAAATTAAGTTTGGTTGCCTCGACTGTATCTCTGATCTAATTATTTCACTCACTACTCAGAACTCATGCCCGTGAGGTGAGGGTTGATTGTGAGGAATTTGTGCTGTAATGATTTTTGTCTACACTAGATGTGAGTGTAGTAAATGTGAACTTGCTTTTTCAATGTTTTCATAAAGATTTAAAAAGGAGTTTCTCTGTTTACCAAAAGTTCTGTTTATCTCTGAGAAGCTCCACTTGGATCCAGCTCCGTCTTTGACCTTCATGCTGCCACATGTGTTGATGCGTACGCCTAAAATGCTCATTTCAGTGTCCTCTGCTTCTTTTTCCTCTCTGCTCTCCGTGTCTCTCCGTCAGATGGAGAGGCTGCAGGTGGAGAACGCTGCAGAGTGGGGGCGCAGGGAGTGTTTGGAAACAGAGAAACTTGCCCTGGAGAGGGACAACAAGAAGCTGAGGGCTCAGGTCGAGGACCTGGAGGAGCAAATGGCAAAAAAACGCCGGCAGTCCGCCTCTGCACTGGACACCGACCTCAAAGCGATCCAGACCGAGCTGTTTGAAAGAAACAAGGTGGGAAGGACAATCCTGTTTTTTATATAACGAAAAGCTGTGACCATGTTAGGAACAAGTGATTCAGGATCACTCTGAGAGCAGACAGCATCTACTCCAGTCAACCCATTAATTAAAATAATAATAATAATAAAGAAAAAACAATTATCTTCTGTGTGTGTGTGTGTGTGTGTGTGTGTGTGTGTGTGTGTGTGTGTGTGTGTGTGTGTGTGTGCTTGAGAAAAGCAAAGAGAGAGATTGATCGTGTTTTGTGTCTCGTGTTGAAACCATGGTATTGATCCAGACAGAGAATGAGAAACAGAGCAAGCGATTAAGATGCTGGATACACAAACACACACACACACATACATACACACACACACAAACACACACACACACACACACACACACACACACACACACACACACATACATACACACACAAACACACACACACATACACACACCTAAACACACACAAACTAACACTCATATACTAACACACACACACACACACACACACACACACACACACACACACACACACACACACACACACCCAAGGTGATTGATAGTAGAATCATCTTCAACTTCTGCCAGGGCTTTGGGCACCACTACTACTCTGATTGATGTTCACTGTCACACACACACACACACACACACACACACACACACACACACACACACACACACACACACACACACACACACACACCCTGGAGGATTTAAAGGAGGAGAGAGGGCCGAAGATAATATTTTTAAGGTGTGATGTGTGTGTGTGTGTGTGTGTGTGTGTGTGTGTGTGTGTGTGTGTGTGTGTGTGTGTGATTGTGTGTGTGTGTGTGTGTGTGTGTGTGTTCTGCCATTTGCAATCCATCTTTTGGCTGCTGATTTCTAAAATATATCAACAAGATTTATGTAACACGAACGCCCCCTCCCCCTCCCCCTCCCCCTCCCCCCTCCCCCTCCCCCTCACATGCAGTATTCATGGTGTTGCTGTGACATGACCTTCTACATTTATAAAAGTTTTCATTTTTCCTTAATGAACCTTTTTATCCCCTTTAAGCTCTGTGTGTCTGTTTATACCCCCGTGTGTTTTTGGTGAAAATGAGTCGTTCATACTCTGCTGGTTACATTTATTTTCACAAAACACAGACATGTGAAGTCGTCTCATGTTCAAGGAACGAGATGCTGAACTTCATTACACACTTTATTGTCACCAACAGCAGGTTAATACTTGAGTTCTGTTAGCATGTTCTACAATTCATTTAGCAGACGCTTTTATCCAAATCTACTTACATCAGAGAGTAATGACATCACAAAGGTTGAAAACACCTACGGTACATATAAGTTAGGTTTAAGTGGAAGTAGGGTTGTCACCAGGGCTTAATTTGTATCCAGCACCTCCCAGATCGTATAAGACACTTTTTTAATTTGAAACAAGCAGCTCCTTTGTCACTATAAAAACATTTTGTGTAATATTTAAAGTATGAATTAAAGTTTGAATTAATGGGGGATCTCTCATTTTCCTCCTTTAAACTTTTTGAAATCTCAACTTTTTCTTAAATGAAAGTCGGGAGAGGTCAGATCGCGGTCAGGTAACTTAAGGAACGCCTGAAGCGGGGTGAAGTTTGTGTACGTCATAACGGCTAAGTTGAAGTTATTGTCTGCGTTAGGTCAGTCAGACCCAAAGAAGACTAAAGAAGTTACGGTGGAGGATGTAGATGACAACACTTACACCCTGATATTGTTTTTTCTTCTTTCTTAATTACCAAAATTGCAAGCAAAATCCAGCACAAATACTTTGCCAATGTATTTGTGAAATGTACACAGAGTAGAGTATTTTCCCGTTCAGGGTCGCCGGGGGCGGCTGGAGCTGATCCCAGCTGTTATTGGGCGAGAGGCGGGGTTACACCCTGCACTGTTTGCCAATCAATCACAGGGCTGACATTTATAGACAGACAACCTGACACACTCACACCTACAGATAATTTAGAGTCACCACTTAACCTAAGGAGCATGTCTTTGGACTGCGGGAGGAATGATAAATAAACCCATCAGTTCAGTTCTACTCTTTTCTTTATGCTACCAAATCCCAGGAAGAGTCTCCCACAGGTGTGTCCGTCTGGCTCCAAGCTGACAAAGCTGCCCCAGGCTTATTTTGTAATTACAAACTTAAGTCTGGGGGCTTTTTTTTGTAATGACTCCATCAGTTTAAGTAATTTGAGGGTAGGTGAGGCTGTCAGGTATGAATCTGCAAACCAAAAAAATCACCTGTAGACCTAATATTTGAATTACGTTTTATAGTACCTGTTCATAATAAAGTGGTGAAGCAGGATGATGAAATATTCACAAAATGAATCAGATAATGATTTCAAAATCACACTAAAAATGAGCATACATTTATATTTAAATCAAACAGGATAATATTCTTCAACACATGTGGAATAATGCTTCACATGCAGATTCCATTCAACAGAGGAAATGTAATCTCCCCGTGGTCACAAGGTGGGGATGTTTACTCAAAATGACTCAGCCAAGAAGACCTCTATGTTGAAGTAATATATCATCGCCCTGACTCGTGTGATATAATTATGGAATCTCTGCTGCCAAATATCGAAATTTAGATTTTAAAAACGCTGCGCTCTGAACAGATTTAGCTGCCAGTTTGACTCTCCACGTTACTACTTCATGACTCCTTACCGTGTTGCTTAATGTAGGACATGAATTAGGGTAACACAGAAGACAGTATTATCATGCTGATGTATACTCATCACTTTTCATTTTATTAAAGCTCCTGTGAGGAACTTTCATCTACTACGTATCATTTATGGAGCACGTGTGTGAGCTGCTCTTAAATGAAGTCATGAAAAGGATCTTTGCTCCAGTAAGTGTGTGTGTGTGTGTGTGTGTGTGTGTGTGTGTGTGGGTGTGTGTGTGGGTGTGAGTGTGTGTGTCTCCTCAAATGGCCCTAATAGCAGCCGGTTGGCAGGCATGGCCGTAGCAGCAAGTATGTATAAGTGTTGGTCAATCTAAGTGCCCCCATTAGCATCTATCCCACAGGGTTATTTATGATGCTCTCAGGTTTATTTAATGCTGCAGTTAGCAGGCACACACACACACACACACACACACACACACACACACACACACGCAGGTAAAGACAGAATAATTAATTCAGTGTATGTTGAAGCAGTAAAGCAGCAGGCTGAATTAGCACATCGTGTCAAAGGGAGCAGGATGAGAAAGGTGAAGATGAGTACAGAGGAAGTTATTCAGAGTAGAACAAAAAAGAAACAACACGCTGGATTACATAAACACAACATACCTCTTGACCTATCTCTCTCCTGCAGCTCTTTAAGAGTAAATGATAGACGGGCTTGTATTGTGCTTTTCTAGTCTGAATGAATGAAGGAAAAATTAGATAACCAAAAAAAAAAGACAAAAGTAACAGTGAACAGTAAAGGAGTAGGAAGAAGTAAAACGTATATCCCCCTATGTTACATTTCTTCTATAAGTTTATATTATAACAAAAGTCTTACACCACATGTCACTCCTACACATTCACACACTGACGGTAAAATCTGCTTTTTTTAAGTGTGCATCAGAAGTAACTCATCCATTCAGACACCACCGCTGAAGCAGCGGGAACAACTTGGGGTTAAGTGTCTTGTCCCAGGACACATCGGACATGTAGCTGGGGATCGAACCCCCCTGGCCTTCTGTTTGAGAGGCGACTGTCTCTTCCACTGAGTCACAGCCTGGAAACATTACAGTCCTTGTTACCTTCATATCATCATCAGCCGTCTCATTCAGACTCTGCTCTCTGTTTCATTTTTCCATAAAGACGTCAGGAATTGATGTTCTCAGACATTCTCAGATAAAAGTGATGAAGCCTTATCTGTCAGCCGGTGTGTTGTCTGTGTAAAGATATGACTGCTGCTGCTGCTGCTGCTGGATTCTATCCTGCTGTCAGTTCAAACCAGCTGGACTAGTCACCATATTTCTGCTCCAACTTGTCTGAGAGAGAACATGCATACGTTTCAAGGACCTTGTCTAAAGATGCAGCTTCCAAACAAAGCTAAAGAAACACTCAGCATCCTGATGTCTCGACCTTGTGTGACAAGCTGGACAACATCAGGGCTTTGATCAAGACTTAGACTTTAACCTTTACTGTCAGATTGAGACATGGCCCACCGTACGAGTGCCTCTCTGTCGTCGTCGTCCCCCCGGGACAGGACTGAGTCAGTGAATTGTAGGGAACTGATGAACCCTCATGGTCATAAAGGAGTAATAGACAGCACCCAGTGTTGGCTCACAAAATAGAAACTAGCTAACTTAAGGCTCTGTTCTCTTTTTCTATGTGTATTTTTTTTTTTATTCTTCATGGTTTGTTAATTACTTGAGATGTTTTTGCTCTCTCTTATCTTTGTGTCTTTTCTATCATCTTCTCTCATGTCTTTTTTGAGCTGATCTGTTCTGACCAATCAGGTTGGAGCAGTGCCCATAAGTCCTTCCCCCACTGTATCGCTCTTGGGCAGCCCTGATTATAAACCCAAATTTGCAATCCCTGGTGTGTGTGTGTGTGTGTGTGTGTGTGTGTGTGTGTGTGTGTGTGTGTGTGTGTGTGTGTGTGTGTGTGTGTGTGTGTGTGTGTGTGTGTGTGTGTGTGTGTGTGTGTGTGTGTGTGTGTGTGTACATGGGAGAGGGACAGTTCTGTCTAAATGAATGTTAAATTCAGAATGGTAGAGGGAAGGGAGAATTCAAGTGATCTTTCTGCATGTTTGCATGCAGTGATACGTGAGCCTCTTTACAATAGTCTAACGTAGTTGTGGATATTTTCATTTCTTATTTACAAATCAGATTTGTTTTTTTCCGACTTTAAAACAGTATTTCTGCGAGGTGACGACTGTGTGTTCGTGCGTGATGCACAGCTTGTGATTTTTGTGCGTGAGTCTGTTTGTGCGTCTGTTTTACTGCAACAGATGTAGCGGCAGACTTCAGGGTCTCTCCAGTCAAGG